TTGGAAATGGGGTGAATGGAGATTTCTTTGGTGGTCTTGTTGGGTTACAATCTAAGGAGGTCTTAGTTGTAGAGAAGGTTACATGCAGGTGCAGCGTCTGATTCAAATATTTTCTTACTAAATTTCAGAAACTTTTTTGGCCCATGTCAACTCTTAAAGTGCAGGTGTTTACCTATTCAATGTTGAGCCTTTCTCAACTATGCTGGTGTATAACGCATTCTCCGAAGATTACAGGCTGTGCGGCATCGTCCAAAGCACCCTACTTGCATTCATTTTAGGATAAGCAATGCACAAAGTAGAGAAGTTGGAGGCGCTGTCTGGTACACTAGTTTTGGCCTATTAAGTGATTGTTAATCCATGTTAGATGAAACTCACTTTCAATTTAATTGTTGTATTAAATTATGTCACCACATTAGATTCTCAAATTAGGTCTAAATAATATTTTTTGAAAAATAATTCAATTTATCTTTGACAATTTTTTTAATACATGTAACAATAGTATGTTTTAAGTCGAGAAAGGAATAAGAGAAAATAAGACTTAGAATCCGAGTTGTTAACCTAGTAAGGAAGGTCCCATATCAATGGGGATAGAGCCTAGGCCTGTACTTTTTGTTTTTTTTGACAATTGAATTTGAGCATTGATTGCAAACCAAGTGTTGAGAAAAACAACCCAGTGAACAAGATTTCGAACCATCTTGCACCAACATACATCCAATGACAAAGTGATTGGTCAGTATGAACATGAAATTCTTAATAAAATTTTGAAAAGCGCATGATTGAGGCTAGGGGTGACAATCTTTATCTTTTACCTATTACTAATTAACTTGCTCAATCCACTAATAAATTAATGAGTTGAGTACCTATATTAATTAATGCGAGTTTTAAACAGATTGGATAATAGCACTCAATTTAATTAAACGTGTTAAATACTTATCTTTCTATTAATTAACAAAAAAAAAATTCAAATACAGACACAAACTATTACTCTAAACACACACACACTTTTTACTTATATATTTTAACACTCAAAGATGCACTAAAAGACCAAAATAAAAAAATATATATACATACTAATATACCAAAATACATACACACTCTAACACACCAAAAAATATATAGATACTAATACAAAATAAACACACACATATCCACACTAATTGATACACAAAAATATACACACACAAACAAACACAAAAATATCCAAGGTCAGGTTTACAGTTGAGTTTGGATTTGGAGTTTGGATCCGGATCTAGGTCTAGGGTTAAGTCCGAGTCTGGGGTTTGGGGTAAAGTCTGGGTAGAGGATCTAGCCTAGGTCCGGGTCCAGAGTCAGCATTAGTGTATTTGCATGTGTGTGCATTTTTTTTGTCTATTAATATATTTGTGTTTTAGTATATTAATGTGTATGTGTTTGTATTTTGATGTGTTATTATATGTGTGTATTTTGGTTTATGAGTTATGAAGTATGGATACTTCATCATGGTCGACATACCCGTATCGAATATGATACTTGTCAGATATTCGAGGATACGTATCGGATACATATCATACGTATCCGATTATTAATAAAATATATGGATAATTCGCGGATATTTTTACACATAGAGCAAGATGTAAAATTTTAATTATAATATATAACCTTGTCTTTTGAGTTTACATACAATACATAACATTAGTAAAAATCGATTTGACTTTGAAAACTGAATGTTTTTTAAGTATTATCTTAAAAAAGTATAAAAAACTGAGTTAGTTAAACTATAACCTTTGAAATAAATACTTGTAAACATATCAACTAGTTAAATATTGGTTCTAATTCTTTTAATTGGTCACGTGCGCTTTACAGATATATCATAATAAAACAATATTACACGTTTTTAAGGTAAAAATTGCTAATTTTGTTTACTATTGTTAAAAAATTATTAAAAATTATAATTTTTAAATTGTTCAATAATGGTAAAATATAAATATATTTTATTGTAAATGTATCTTGGTCGTACCCTTATCTTTTTTTTTTTAGGTTTGTCGTATCACTGTATCTGTATCGTATCATACCCATATCTTATATACGTATCCATGCTTCCTAGTGTGTGTGTGTGTGTGTGTGTGTGTATTTTAGTATATTAATGTGTGTATGTATATATATTTTGGTATATTAGTGTATGTGGGGGGTGTGTATTTTGGTGTGCTATTAAATGTGTTTGTATTTTTTTTTTCGCTCATGTATTTTTAATGTATTAGTGTGTGTATTTTAATGTGTCAGTTTTTGTGTGTGTGTGTGTGTGTTTTTTTTTTTTTTTTTGTATTAGTGTATGTTTTATGTATTGTATTAGAACATCTTTAGCCTTGATTCAAATATAAACTCAAATTTAAATTTGAATCAAAATGACCCAAAAAACTTATCTAACATTAGACTCAAATCTATATTAAATTAAGACAAAATTTATTCTTGACCTAAATTGAAGCAAACTCGAATTATATATCAAATTTCTAATGGTAACTTTTTAACCTATCTAAAATTAAAAGACTTATTTGACGACTTTTTCTCTACCTCTTATTGCCTCTGTCTACTATGTTGCTTCTATCGTTGACCACCACCGAAACTTTCACAAATCATTTGAAGGCATGTAGGTAAGTTTTTTCCTTTTTATTTTCCATCTTCTTGATTTCTTGTGTTTTTTAAAACTCTAATCCCACTCATCTTTCATACTATATAAACCATAATCCTACTTATCATATTTTTTTTTGATTTTTTCGAGTTAAACATTATCAGTAGTACAATTTCAGGCAACTGATTCTTCCTAAAATTTTAAGTCTTCACTACCCACAAATTTAAAAAATTTGTAATTTTATTTCTTAAATCTTCCATTTTTTGTTAAAAACATATGTTTTTGTGTTCTTCAGATTAGACCCATGTCAAAATAGTTATATTTTTTTTCTTTTTCTTTATCTGAATTTATAAAAATGATAAAAGATTAGAACAATCTTAGAAATCTATGATAGTTTCTTTATTTCTATGTAATGTTATATACATTTTGATTTTTTTTATTTTTTTTGAATTACCCATTTGTGGAGAGATATAAAAATTTCATTTATTTTATCAAATATCATGATTTTAATGACACAAAAAAATAAGTTTTTGGATAATAAAAGAATTTTTAAAATATTTGAGTAGGTATTTGATTTTGTCCATATAAGTACTCTATACCAAATTAAACTTTTTTCTCAAATTTAGACTTAAATTTGAGTATCAATTTGAATCATGATTGGAGATGCTCTTAATATGTGTAATGTAATAAGTCACAAAAAATAATATAATGCTTGTTTCTGTAATCGATCATATTGTGAGTCGATTTCTCAGTTAAAGTTGTGACTTTGTCGATTTGATTATCATAGAGTCCTAAGCAGGCCTACACAATTTGGATAAGCCATCTTCGTAAAAAGTAATATAATGTTTACCTCCACTTATGGACATGCTATTTCAACGCCACGAAATCGCTGTCATTTTCCAAAAATAATACTATTGAATTGCTGAAGGAAAGAGCGATACCGGCACATTTGAATCCTATGGCAAAGAGATGCAACTTTGACAAAATGACCAATGAGACTTCTTAATGAGATCGAAGACAAGTCCAAATAAAATCTTTTATGACCACATAATGTATGACATCCAATGTTTACTACTGCTTAGACACCATGAGAACTCAACTGAGTTTTTGTTTTTTTTGTATCTTCAGTGTTTGCAATTTACATGTACTGGATACAAAGAGACTGATACAGATTATGGGATAAGAAGAAATTTGAATTTTGAAGCTGAAAAGATCAGCAAGGAGATCAAAGGATCAACTATGAGATCAGGAGATCAAATTAGTTGGAACTAATCTTAATCTTTTTCTCTAACTCACTCCCTCATGCAAAGCGTTCTGTTGTGAAGGCTGATCTTGTCACGAAGTTGCTGAAACGACGGTGTGGAGAAAGGCTTGGTAAGAATATCAGTGAATTGATCTTTAGTAGAGATGTACTGCACATTAAGGTCGTCTTTCGTAACATTTTCGTGAACAAAGTGAAATGCAATTTCTGTGTTTCATGCGGTGGTGAAAAGATTGGATTAGCAGTAACATATGTGGTACCAATATTGTCACACCATAGGATTGGGGCTGCGAGCTTGAGGCTGAAAGGAAAAGAACTCCGGAGCCAACCTTCAAATAATATGCTTCAAGCTTCACGGAGATTCTAGAGTTGCTGCTTCTAGTGTCTGCTTTTTGGATGTTGGCAAGATTTCTACCCTTTTCTTTCCCTAAGCTAAGTAACTTGACTTGAACAAAACCCTAAAGGTAAGAAGGTATTTGCTTCGCCTGGCTGCAGCAGCAGAAACTGAAGTTCTTTAAGAAGTGACTGAAGCCATAGTAGTTCAGCTGTGGCCGATACTCTGCTTCTGTGCTTGAACGAGCAACAACTTCATAAAGTCCATCAGTGCACATCAGGCCACGATGTAAAACTTTGTCCGTGGTGTTGTCCTTAACACAAAAATGAGAGGCATGAAATTCAAACCAACAACGATTATCCTTGGTGAATTTATGAACCGAAAGGAGATTGCGTTTTACACTTGGAATATGTAAAATTATATCATTGAGAGCGCGGGAAGAATTATGATTATAAAAAGAGGAAGAGCCAAGATGTTTAATGCCCAAACCTGTGTCATTACCGATTTGAACAGTGTCATTGCCATTGTAGTCGTAAGAGAAGTTCAGAATGGAGAGGATCGAGGTAATGTGCTGGGTGGCACCAGAATCTGGATGTCATTGATCAGTGGGAACGGTAGGTACTCAGATGTTGTAAGCCTGTGGAGACAGGGCAGGAGAGGTGTATTGAAAAGCTTCATTGAAGCGCTACATGTCCGATGTGATTACAAACTTGACTGATAGGCTGGGAGGAAGAGTGCGAGGAATCTACACCTGATCCATTAGATTGGCCACCAGAATCGTGAAAATTGCCGCCAGATGAATAACGTCCACGTCCACGACCACGACCACGACCTCCTCTGTTGTGATTGCCGCAGCCACGATTTTGTTGAGTTGGTCTGTAGTTTGAGTGCGAAGAAAGGGGCTGGTTAGTGACCGGTGGCATTGAGCAAGGTTTGTTGCTGGAGGAACATCGGTAATAGCAAGTTGATGAGCAATAGTCTAGGCACGATAAAAGTATTTGAAGTCGCAAGAATCTAAATACATAGAGATTGATCAGTTTCAAGTATATATGTTTTTTTATAAGAAACAGCATTTTATTAACAAACATAATGAATATTACATACATCTAAATCAAAATTGGACAAGAAATCCAATTCAATGGACAACAAAACACTGTCCCAAAAAACCAAAAAAAAAATTATCACAAGAAACCACTCTTACATGCTAGATGATGACCAACTCAAAGAAAACCAAAAAAAAAGAACATTCTCAAACTCCTTTGTCACCAACGCCAAAAAGGATGCTAAAAAATAAGCTCTTTTTCATAGCCCTTCCCACACTTCCATTCTATCTTCAAATATTCTCGCATTCCTTTCCATCCAAACATATTTATCAACTTCCCAAACTGTAGGAAGGGCAGATATGTTGGCCTCTAGAATATTCTTTGGTACAGTGACTTGATGAAAGAAAATTGATCTGCATAAAGACCCAAGTGACATCAATTGTCCTAAAGTGAAGACTTCCTTTTTTTTTTAAATGTCAACAACATCAAGAATGAGAAGGCATGGAAAATTACCTTGATGATCTCGCACTTTGAGGTTGGCGGCAAATAGGCCGCCAAGACAGCCAAGTGAAAATGCTGGTTTTAAGAAAAAAGAAGTAAATGTTTGGATTTAATCTCAGAGAGGAAAAAAATTACAAATTGCATCCTAAAAGAAATGAAAAAGAGGAAAGATGTAAGTAAAATTTTCAGAATACACATTCTTCATCTTTATGTATGTTTAAGATACCGACGTTCTGGTCCAACTCGTGGTTTCCTACTTACTTTCGTTCATGCTGGTACTACCGTCGAAGATAAAAACAATAGAGAATCTGGATATGCTTTCAGTATCCAATTTGACCACCAGAGATAGGTAGGATATAATACATGGGTGATTTTTTTTCAGAAAACAGCCCTTGCAGTCGAAGTTCTGATTCAGAAGAATTAAAATGATAATGCATCGTATATATCGCAAAAAGAGCTTACTCTAAAAGGATCACTTCTTAGGGATTGCACAAACATTGAGCTGCCCAAGCCCCTTCCCTGGAAAGGAACAAAATGTGACGTTCTTCTTCAAGATAGCAGTCACTACTAGTAATTTTGTGTTTTTCTTTGTTCATTAACCGAATAGCACAGAGCAATGGACAATATATGAGTTACCTCCAAATGGATATCTCTAAGTCGCCTTCCAGTTTGAGCACAAGAAATGCGAACGACTGGCTCAGCACAACTCCCACTGACAATATAGTCCCTTCCATTCATGTAATATGAACGAGTGTAGTTATGGGCATTTCCAGTAGAAGCTATCTCAAAATTTGTGTGGAGGCTCCCATCTACAGCCAAAAGTTGCTTTACCTGGCACACTCAGCAGTTAGCCTCAACCTTTACCCATCAAACAATGCCAGTAACTCATTATTTCTAGATGAGATTACAACTTCACGGTCCGTGCAAATAGACCTTAATGACTGAAACCTATTTGCAACAGGTTGAAAATCTAGTCACATCTGAGTTCTTCTATGTCAAACAAACAATGTTCATATATAATGTTAACTGAAGTACCTCATTGTCTACAGCAGACACGAGCAGATAAAGGTCATCATGAGAGAAGCAAACCATCACGTTTCCTCCTGAACTTGAAGCAGCATAGCAAGGCCGTGTTGGTTTCTGTCTTAAGTCCCACATCTTCACATCGCGGTCAAATGATGAAGTAACAAACAGAGAGCGGGAATGGTGGGAAAATTTAGCAACATTAATGGGTTCTTGATGCATATCAGTGAACAACTGTAAGCGTCTTCCACTGCAAATATCATATACAGCAACTTTTCGTGAATAACCACTTGTAATAAACTGGTCATCAGTTGAATTGACATGAACAGAAGTCAACTGCTCAAAGTCATCGAAGGTTACAGTATTGGAACTGCAGTAGCCATCTGCAACTGTCCGCATCATATCATTAATGTCATACAACCTCAACGAACCATTGTCGGAACCAGCAACAAACTGATAGTTTAACACCAAACAAAAATGATCAGAAATTCCCAATAAATAAGTTCAAAACGGTAAGGTTAAGGCACATGTTGATCACAATCTGGGCATATAACTTGAGTATTTTAAATACTATCTCTCTCCATATATGAATCATACGGTTAAAGAAAATGGATAGTCCATGCATTTTTTTTTGGAAAGTACATCGAATCTTTGAGTAGTAAGCTTGCAGATGTAGTAAAAAACTAAAGCTGAAAAAATGCAGCCCATGAATTTAGCCAACAGTGTATTTTAGTAAGATTTTCAGGAGTTTTGCATCCAAATGCACAATGAAAGCATGTACACAAGGCCATCACTGTGGAGAAGTATGTAGTTCTTCTGTTTATAAGCAACAGAATCTTGAGAGAGAGCGAGAGAGAGTATGTAACAACCAATTGATAATGGTAAGATGCAGGAACGAATTTTATCAAAAATATAAAGCCAATCTGTATGCATTGTGTGTCATGACCGTTTGGCAATGATACAGGTGTATGATCAAACAATACAGAAGAAACGAAAATTTGATTCTCTTGAAAATTCGAACCTTCATGTACCATATGTTTTTTGAGGTAATGGTTTACCTTGGATGGATACTTTTTAAGCCAACATAATCCCAAAACACTGTTAGCCATTCCAAGTGATGGAATATAACCAACGATATTCCCTTTCTCATGGTTGATAACTATTATCTCCCCATCTAGAGTTCCAAAAACCATTAAACTAGAGTCAGATGGGTGGTACTCAAACTGCCTTGGCCGAAAGCTCTTGTTCTCTTCTTTGGTAGTATGGCTGATATTGGACATGGGGTGTAACAGAGGCCATGCAGAAGACCCAAGTTTGGCAGCACAAAAGGACCTGGAGTAGAAATACTGACTTTTCCTGCAAATATATGGCTGCTTTGGCCTGGAAGATATTTGGTGGTGCATACTACTTGCCCCTGTTTCGCGCATTTGCAAAACACTGACAACACTTTCTCTGTGTCGTCTTTTATATGGTAAGTGCTCATAGTACTTTAAGAAGACAGTCTTCGCTATTTCCTTGTCCACTTTTCGTATAGGTAAATTATCTAACACGTTCAGACATGGCAATGAAGCAATCATAAACTCCCTGTAATGTTTCTCAAAGCAGATGGGTGAAGGATGATGTGGAACATATATCCTTGAAGCAATTGAGGCATCTTCCATGTCCCCATTAAGAAGACTCCTAGGAAACTCCTCCTTATCTTCTATGCCAAAAGAAACCTGCTAAAAAGACTAAAAATCCATCAACAGTTGAGGGAAGAAAAAAATAACCCTTCAGGTTTAACCATAGAATGTAGCAGTCTCACAAGTGAAACTATATCCTGACCTTAATTTGCGAGTTGTCCTGTCCACTTGAGATATGAATGGCATCAGAAGAGAGTTCCGAAAAACCAATTCTTTGGAAGTGGCTTGAAATATTAACTGCACCATCATCTGATGAATCCCGAGTTAAGCTTTGAACCTAGGGAATTATAAATGAATCAACGATGGGAACTAAATTCCTGAAAGATTCACCTGCAGCCAAAGTTGAATATGTAGCATCTCTGCCTGCAATAGTTGGTTGCTTGGTGTCGAAGTACCTGCTCAAATGACCTGACACAGCTCTGTCACCAAGAAGGAGATTATCCCTCTTACTGGATGATGCAGGACATGGCCTAGTATCATTGCAACATACACAATTTTGAAAGCGGAGCTCGACCAAAGAAAGAAGTTTTGACAAGGCAGCACTAGTTGTCCATAGATTGGCAACTCTAGTTTCACACATTGAGAGACGCATCAGATTTGGCATGTAAGTGAAACAATCCTCCTCCAAGCTTGTAAGGGCAGTACAAAAATCCAGATTAAGGGTGCGTAACTGCATGAAACTCCCAACCAAATTGAGTTTCCGAATCTCAGTGGACCTCAAGTTTAAGACTTGGCAATTCAAACCATCCTGGAAAAGTTCCCTGGAGATATCTCAAATTTGTGGAGTAAATATTATTATATACAACCAAAAAACAAATTGTTCTGAAAAAAATAATTCTTAATGATTTTTAGCCTGTTTATTTCTTAAAGCTCCATCTAAATGCAAAAATTTCAGAGAACCACCATATCAATTACCAATTTTCTTCCCCTGAAGAGGATATTAGGGGATGAAGGGAGGGGAAGCTAAAATTTAGATTATAGCATGACTATTGTGTACGAAACACTTAAAGTCCAACAATAATGACTGTGGGAAAACATTCATACAGACCACAATATGTCTTCAGTAAATGACATATCCTGGAGATCAACAACTCGTAGCCTCAAATTGATTGCATGCAGCAATGAGATGACATATTCCGGGTTCAGGGCACAGGGAGATTTATGAAGTACGTCGACCGCATCAACCTCATAAGAGTCCATTGCCAGGAAAACATCAATGAGGGGAGAGAAATCAGAATCCTTTAATTGGTCTAAAAAAATTACTATAGTGCATTTCTGATGGATAGAGTTCCCAATCTTGGCCTGAATTATAAAAATAAAAATCAGCATCAGCATCAGCATTCACATTACCCTTACAGGACAGATGACGCGATATGCAAGCGTAAAATAAGCTCAAAGCAAAAGCTTTACAAGCACATCAAAAAAATACGTTGAGGCATCATGCAGTATTGCTAGCAGCATACAATAGAGGTGTTTTGGAATTTAGTTCAAAAGGTTAAGAAGCATGCAATGTAAAACACTTATTGATCAACATGGCAATGAACAATGCAATAGATGCAGAAAGGCTCCAGCAAAGGATCAAAAGGAATTTTCAGCTCAGGGTAAAAAGAAAAAAAATCCTTGAATGATCAATACAAAATAATTAGATGACCATTAAATCATTTACTGTATCCCAGTTTCAATATGTTAGCTACCCTGTCGTTTTAGAATTAATTAAGATAGAAGTCAGATCATAACATATAGATAACACAAAATCTATATGCCAGTCTGACTGATCTCTCCATAATTTAATAAAGACATAAAATCCTATGATTGTCTTGAGCAACTAATGTATATTAGACATCTTCCGCAACCCTCTATATGAATTGCACCTACGATCTCCTTGAGCACCCATTGTATGAATGACATTTCTCATTTCCCTTTATATGACTAGTGTTGGTTTTTTTTTTATGGAGTCTAGTTTTGTATATGTGATCCGGATGATGACCCGACCTGAAGTAATGTTGTATGGTTTTTTAATGAAAATTTTTTGAGGCTTAGTCCATGGAACAAAGGCTTGGGTTGATAGGCCCAAGTCGTAGCGCTCATGGACAAGCCTCGTGGGGGTTCGGGGGCAACGCCCCTGAGAAAAATTTTTGGGCCCGTTATATAGCCCAGTGCGTAGGACATATAAACTCTGTTGTTTTGGTGATTAGAGTTTATCGTGGATTGTACAGCTGCTCTCTGTATTCAACTCTCTCAATAGTGAAATCCTTGCAGCTTCGTGGATGTAGGCAAATTGCCGAACCACGTAAAATCTGTGTCTTGTTCTTTCTTGTTTCTTATTGCTTTATATTCTTGATTTGTTCTTCGATTGTGTGTGTTTGTTAGTGGATTTAAATCGTGTTAAATCCAAACAACTAGTATCAAAAACAACGTTCTTTTTGTGAAAGCACCCAACTCAAAATCAACCGGCAATGATTGGAGTATCACATAAGGCTCATAACTAGGTCGGAGATGTTATTTTATCTAAAATTATAGCACTGGATTGATCTTCTCTTTCTCTAATATTACATATTTCAAGAGCTAGATCAGTTTTTGATGTACAAGTGAGAATTGCCTTAACAAAAATGGATGACAAATATATTTATGTTCCGTTTGATAGGAAAGATAGAAAGTAGGAGAGATACATTTTTTATCCTTCAAAGAAGAAAAGTAGGAATGATATACTTTCCTTCTTTTGTACTTGGTATGATGGATAAAAAATAAAAATGACTAATTTTTTTTTGTAAAATGAAAAAAAATATTTTTTAATTTTAATTTTAATTTTAATTTTTATATTTGTTTAAAAATATATATATAAATACATATTTTATCATTGTATTTATGTATGAAATTAATGTATATATAATATATGTATATATCAAATGATATATAGACAAATAAGATATATTTCAACACAAATAATAAATTTTTCATCCACTTTTCTTCCAATTTTAAAGGAATTAATTTTGGTGAGTTAGAAAAAAAGTTCATTCATCCACTTTTCCATCATTCCTATTTTCTTTTCCTACTAAACATAATATTTTATTTATCCTCTAACTTTACATTATTCTATTTTTTTGTCTCTCCAAACCGAGCAATAATATCTAAAATTGTTGACCAGCAGACATTACTCAAGACTCGTACATCCAGACGAGCTTTAGCCTTTAAGGATCAAATTATACAACTGTGGTAGAACAGTTGGTTAATGTACTATGTTAGTCTTGGATGGGGCTATACCTTTTTCAAAACATTCGTAAACCATAAACCTGACCGAGGGTTCCCTATAGAGCTGGCGTCCTTGGTCTTTGTCACAACTACCAGACTACCCAATGATTTCTTCGACTTCACCTGACCTCATAGTATACTGCTGCGATTAGTTCTATATTTTGTAAATCGTTTGATGCCGAGACCATCTTATGCCTTTAAGAATAATTACCCTCTTTCTCACCTATCAATCTATCACTCAGAGTATAGGGAAAAGAGAAATTAAAAGTTCAGCAAAGCAGCAAGTCATATCATGAGCCTATAACTATGTTTGACCAATTTTAGCATGTATGAATAGAAGCTAAACTCGGGTTGAGACCTTATAGAACCATGAAGATACCGCAGAGTTGGGCAGCACCTCATGCCTCTTGCAAGAATCCAGATACCTAGCATCGAATAGGAAATAGAAAATATGTTAATAATGTAGTAAAGGGACAATTGACAATGGAGCAACGGTTGTTATCAATTGTTCAAGAAAAGCTTGCTACATGTTCCCTCCCTAGAATCATTAATTCAAGCAAACTTGTCATGTGATGAACCCAAGTTCAAGTTGTTTATCAGATTGCTAATATGTTCATCCGGTCTCCCAAAACAGAAAAGAAAAAATAGCAACGAGTTTATTACTTTCATATGCAAGCCAGATTTCATTTTTGGACCAATTTCCATGAATTTAGAGACAAAACAAAAGGAGTGTAAAAAAAGAAAACAGAGCACATGTATAAGTTCTTTCTGATTGAGACCAACATTAGTAAAGCAAACTCCTCTTGCTCAATCAAGACATTTCATGAATTAGTAAAAAACAGAGAGCCTAACAAAATAAGAAACTAGAGAATTGCAGATTACCGCATCACAAATACAGAGAGAGAGAGAGAGAGAGAGACCTGGCTTCCATGCCGGAGATATCAGTCTTCACTTTCGGAACTATAGTGCTCATAGAAACCAGTGGGTTTGCATTTCTGAATATGCAGTGAGGGACCAAGAGGGGATAAGCACAGGAATATAAGCACACTAGAAAAGTCGGTGAAGATATAATTAATTATATTCTTTACCCCTAAATTTTCGCCCATTCCCACTTTGATTCCCAAGCTACCATGTGTGTTACTATAAACCAACACTAAACTTAAAAAAGTCTTTGTTTAGTGGGAGAATAGTAAAAAATGTAAAAAAGATAAATTTTTAAAATTTTTTATGTGTTTGGTTAGAATAAAATAAAAAATTATAGAAAAAATAATTTTCTTTCATTCTTGAATTTTTTTATAACTAACCAATTTTTTTTCTTGTAAAAAATATAATGAAATACAAGAAAATTGTGATATATATCTGACTTTATATTTTACCCTTATTTTTTTATAAAATATTTTATTAGTTATTAATTTTAAAAAATATTGGTATAAATTTCATTAACTATATAATTTGATCTAAAGACTTTCATGCTGGTGTTTGTTATAGAATTAGATTACAAGCCACTTTTTTAAAAAAAATTTAATTTTCAATTATAATACATTTTTTTCTTCTTTAGACCGATTTAATATAATTAAGGATAATTTAGACAATTAAAAAAAATTATTGTAATTTTACTTTTTTCAAACAATTGAATGAAATTTTTGTAAAACTTTCTTGCAATTTTTACATCCTAATCAAATACATGTATGAAAATATATTTCTTATCATTTTCTTTTCTTTCACTTCATTTTCTATCATTTTCACTTTTCATCATTCTTTTTTTCTTAACTAAATGGACCATTTTTAAGTGGTAAAATAAATGAACTGTAAATTTAAATATCTTGAGTCCAAATTTTAACAATTTTTTAGGGCATTTTATGAGAGATTTATAACTTATGAATTCTCTAATTTCAACATTGATGGCTTGCCTTTAACGAGACAAATAATAAGATTAATCGAGATACTCGTAAGTTGGCCTAAATACCATTGACAGTTGAACCAAAGAAAAAAACTATAAACTAAGACCAAAATACTTTTACAAAAAAAATAATCCATTTACTTTTTTTTTTACTAAATTATTCTTTTGCTAATGGAATTTTGTTAAAACAGCTTTTTTAAACAAAAATTTTTGTATTAAATTTTTTCTCTATCTTTTCACTTAGTTCAATACATTTTAATAATTGAATTATTTACGAGGATACATTCAATATGCAACACAAACATCATTTTTTGTGAGACAGTATATGTATTTTTGTCAAGTATTTTAAAAAACTTATTGAAATGGGAAAAAAAAAACTTGTAAAAAGTTCAAGAATCAAATGTGTAATTAACAGAAAAAATATGTTGCATTTAAGCAAAAAATAAGGATCAAAATTCAAATTGACGGAAGTTTTAAGGTAAAAGGTATAATTAATGCTAAAATAAACAGAAGCACATGTCATGCCGATTAGCCTTGGTACTGCACTTATCAACTTCTTGTCTGTACTAATAGCTATCCGTAGCCGTATAGATAGAGATAGTTGCTGTAGGGCCCACACCTCTATTAATTGACATCAGTGGAAAAGCTTAACTCCATGTCATAAAATAAATGATAAATTTCACAGAAATTTCTGAATTTAAGTCATATTTAATTAATATTTTCTTTAATTTATGAAATATCATTACACTTTACTGTAGTTTATATAAGCGTTTCATGAATTACTCCTGTCATCTGTCGTCTGTCTCGATATTGACAAGCAAAAAAATTGGTGATGTGATGATTTATCCTCTTATGAATCATCAAGCTTATTATTAGTCATTTAAAACAAACTTAAAGCAATAGGCAACATCCATTTAGTATTAATTTAAATGCTAGCTGGATTAAATATAATGTTTTCCTATCAATTTTTTTTGAATTAAAAAAAATATTAGTTTAGTGTTAATTTAAAAAAATAATATTAGTTTAATAAAACTAAATATTAAATTCATAAAATTGAATGATAATTTTATAAAATTGAATGATTATTTCATATTGATTTGATAAAATTGAATGTAAGTTTGAAATTCAATCAAAAAATAATATTAATTTGATAAATTAAATTTTAATCTGGAGTTAATTTGATAAAATTAAATATTAATTTAGTGTTAATTTTATAAAATTAAATATCAATTGAATGTTAATTTGTTGAAATAAAAAAGTAATTAAAATCAATTTCACTTTAATTTGGTAAAATTTTGTATTAATTTGATGAAATTTTATGTTGACTTGATAAAAGTGAATGTTAAATTGATAGCTAATTTGGTGTTAGTTAGATCGAATTGAATATTAATTTGATAGTAAATTTGATGAAGTTTAATGTCTTTTTGATAAAATTGAATGGTGTTAATTTTATGAAATTGAATATTAATTTAGTACTAATTTAAAAACATTGAATGCTAATGGGACGAAGTGAGAACTAATTTGATAAAATTTATGGTTAATTTAGTGATAATTTGATGAAATTGAATATTAATTTGGTATTAATTTCATAAAATTAAATATTAATTAGACAAAATTGAACATGATTAAGTTAGGTCATAACATGGGATAAAACTTAAAACAAAATAAAAATATAAGGGTAAATTCCACCCTAGTAAATTGGGTGTTTTAGTAAATTGGGTGTTTAAATTATATTTATTAAATTTTTTACTCATTTATTTTTTTTATTGGCTTCACTTATATTCAATTCATTTATTATTAATTGTGTCTGGTTGGATCTACACATTTATAAAACGGATGAATTAAGAAATATCTAAATTCTATAATTTCGTGTCATATATGTCATATTTTGGCACCCTAATGATAATAGACACACCAAGGAAAAACAAGGCGGATAAAGAATTAAATAAGCATTCTATGAGAAATCAACCACCATACATTTACAAAATTATTCAGCGTGTTTCAGTAGTTGAGTTTGTCCTTCGGTAATCTTGAGTTTGTCCTGTGTTGGTGTCTGAGGAACAACATGGCTTTGCGCCAACGAGAGGTATTGGTGATTGTGTGGCCTTGGTCAGTTATTGGTAGGGGAGCTAGATAGGAAGGTGGAGGGTGGAAACCTGAAGTTGAAATTAGACATGATGAAGGCCGGCTTGAGTGGGATTTTCTCTTGAAAGTGTTGAGTACTTTTGGCTTCTCAGATCTGTTCACTCAAATCATTTTGAATTGTTTGAATAGTCAATTCTTTTCTATTTGTCTAAATGGACAGAGATATGGGTATTTTGCAAACTCTAGGGGATTAAGGCAGAGGGACCCCCTCTCTCCTACCTTGTTCATTATAGCTTAGGAGGTTCTAAGTAAGGGTCTAAGGAGCATTTATCAGCAGAGATTGGTCTCTCATTTTCATATGGGTAGAGGCACATCATTGGTGAGTCACCTGTTATTTGCTGATGATACTTTGGTATTTCTCAGAGGAACTAAGAGATATGTATTGAATGTGATGAAGTTTATCGAGTTGTATGAGTCTTGCTCTGGTCAGCAGGTCAATAAGTTGAAGAGTGCTATGTATTGCTCTAAAAGGCATCCAATTGCCAGAAGAAATGTGCTGGCTTCTCTGGTGGGAATTCCTATTAAGAATTGTCCTTTCACATATCTAGGATGTCCAATTATCAGAGGCAGGGTTAGAAAATGTCATTTTCAGGAGGTAGTGAGGGTGTTCAGGGGAAGAATTAAGGGTTGACATGCAAAGATGATGTCTAGTATGGGTAGAGTTGTGCTGATACAGTCAGTGCTTAATTTTATCCCTCTTCACATGTTAGCATGTATGAACATTCCTAAATGGATTTTGAAGAAATTGAATTCTTTAATTGCTAATTTTGTTTAGTCAAGCAAGCTGAACAATAGGAGGAGATGGTCAATCTGCTGATTTTTGGTGTGACTCTTGGATGGAACCTTGTCCTTTGCTTCTTAGAATTGAGGGAACCCTTTTGGTTTTTGCCAGGGTTAAAGAGCTATGGAGTACTGATGGTTGGAGATTAGAATAGGTTTCTGAGTGGTTGACTCCCCAATTACAGTTTGAGATTAGTAGTTCTATTTTGGTATGGTCTAATCTGCCTGACAAGAGAATCTGGAGGTATACTAATTCAGGTGATTTCTCTGTGAAATTTGCATGGCATCAAATTAGAATGAAAGGTGTTCATAGTAGTTTAGCACAGAGTATTTGGAGGCAGAAAATCTTCCCTAGTGCCCAATTGTGTGCTTGGAAAATTCTGAGGAATGCATTGACTTCTAATGATAGGGTGAGGAGTGTGGGTGTCCATCTGGCTATTAGATGCAATATGTGTGGTATGGATGAGGAAAATATTCATCACTTGTTCATTAATTGTTCTCTAGCTCATGATGTGTGGAGAAGGATAGCTGCTGTTATGGGTTTTGAAATCATATCAGAGGAGTCTCCTATGTGCAGGTTTTTGAGATTGATGAGGAAATTCAAAAATCAGTCTCTGAGTCATTGCTTGATTAGAGGGGTTTCTATGTTAATTTTTGGGGCCATATGGAAAGAGATATGTAGAAGGAGATATGAGGGGATCTACTTGAATGCTTATGCCATTTTTTTGCAAGTGGTGAGTGCTTTGAGGTGGCAATCCTTTTTAGTAAAACCTGGAAGAGGTGATGATTGTAGGGGTAAGGAATTGTTACCGAATTTGAGAATTGTTTATCCTTATTCTGTAGCCACCAAGGTGATATGGGTTAAGTGGGAACCACCTCCTGGAGATTTGTTAAAACTAAATGTAGATGGTGCTTCTAAAGGAAGTAGTCGTCTTTTTAAGGGTGGGATGGTGGTTAGAAACTTTTATGGTCATATTATTTTAGCAGCTGAAGTTTTTATGGGCCAAGGTCCAGTATGCAGGCTGAGTGTATGGCTTTATTAGATGGCTTAAAGCTGATTTTGAGCAATGCATTGGAGGGTCATCAGTTCTGGATTGAATCCGATTCCCAGGTTCTAGTTCAGATGGTTTTGGGTCAAGTAAAGGTGT